TCTCTCTCTCTCTCTCTCTCTCTCTCTCTCTCTCTCTCTCTCTCCCACACAGCAGGACAGGTAACTGTCAGGAGGTAGTGTGAGCACTGACTCCCAGGACACCTGGATCAGAATCCACAGCACCTACCCCTGCCCAGCCTCTCAAGCCCCCTCCAGCCCTTGTAGCCCCTTCTATCTGGGCAAGATTCCTGGGTTTGTCTTGGCCTCTGGGGGCCCAAGGCATTTCCTCTCGTGTAGTAGGTTCCGTGCGGCTGCTCACCCCACGCAAGGTTAGTAGTTCAGACCTGTCGGCCGCTCCGTGGGAGAAGGATGAGACTATATGCTCCCCTAACCCTGGCCCCCAGGAGCAGCTCTGCTGTCTTATGGGGTGGTGGACTCTGAGTGGGCCGATGGAGGAGCCTCGGGGTTAGAGGGGCCGTGACCCCTCCCTGGGGAGCAGGGACGCACCGGGGGCTGTCCCCACACGGAGGACCGCACTGGACAGGAACTAGCTCTTCCTCTCCCCCATGGGCAGAGAAGGCTCCCTTTGGAAAAGTCTAAGCGGGCATGTGGGACGGGGTGCAGGCTGCAGCGGCCCAAGAGGTGGGTGGCGGAGGCTCAGGGCGGGGAAATGCGCCCTTGTTAGTTTGCTCCGTCAGGTGGCTTTTGGCCCCTGGCACCCACTGTGCAGAGTGAACTGTATCTGCACGCGGCCAAGGTTGTGTCTGTGTTTAAACGTCTTACTGTGAATGAGGGGCGGCCCCTTTCCCATGCACTGTCCACCGGCCACTCCAGCCACCCTCTGGATGCAGCATCGCGCATGCGTGTTCACGCCCTGGTGCCCGCCTGCGCCGTTCCGCCGTGCCTCCCTGCTCCGCCTGCCCGCACGTTGCCCCTGGGTAGCTGCCGGCCCTCGAGCGTGGTGATTCTAAGGTGTGCACACCTTCCTCTTGTTGCGTTCCCTGGAGGTGCTCACTCAGCGACCCTGTGGGTTTCCGAGGCTCCCTCTTTACCAGAGTCAAAAAGCCTCGTTTTTCTCCCTCGTTGCTGCAGGGGGTTTTGAACTGGAGACCTTGGGTTTAGCAGCCCAACACCACCAGGGCTCCA